GTTTAACGCCGCACTCAGCAATATTCCAGCTATATGACGGCGGTCTGTAAATAATCGAATCTGGACCAGACAGTCCAGTGATTGACATCATGAGCATCGATCCGCGCAATTGGGATCGATGACATGCATCAACCAAGTCATCGAGCCTGACCACCCGATCCCGTTAGTCGCCTTTTACGACAAGCATAGTCGCCTTTTACGGCAAGCATGGGTTGCTGAAGACCTATTCTACCCCGGATCTTCACGGGTCGTGTCAACTAGGTGTTATATAAGACACTTTTACATGTGTAAACATACCTGTGCATTGCTCTTCCTTTACATTGGAGAATATGTTTCACAAGGTTTAGATGTGGTAATTATAGACTTATCACAGAAACAGGAAGATACACTAATATACCAGGCCATACAAGACTATGTCCTCACTGCAGGCTTAATGACAAAATATACACAGAAGACGAATTCATGTTTTACATGTATGTGATGCATTTACCTTTATTAAATAACAGTATATTAGTAAATACATCAGAAATGATAATGCAGTAAATATATTCCTAAATATAATGAACATAGTGTTTATACCTATTTTATTTGATATATATATATAGTAGCGCCAAGAATTGTCTGTACTTTGGGACACTGGCCTCCTTACTGAGTGAATTGTCTTGTCTTGTCTTGAGCTGTCTGTACACATTGGAATCTGAATAATTATTGGCACTCATCAACAACCTTAGAAGTGGATGGTCAATACTCATAGGCTAAGAAAGTGGTTTAAAATCACTGCATGGTCCGCCTTAAATATAGGCGACAAAACACTTTCCATAGTCATAAGAAATCTCTGCTAAAAGCATATACAGTAAACTACGGTTATAACGAACACACTTATAACGAACTGACGGATATAACGAACTACTTTTTTGGTCCCGACTATTTGCTGTAGTTATGCTGTATATATGCTTATAACGAACTACGGTTATAACGAACTAAAGTTAGTAGTCCCTTTGAGTTCGTTATAACCGTACTTTACTTTGTATGTATATCCTAAGCACGTGTTTAGGAATCAGTCAAATAGTGATGCTACCAGGAGTTCGCAAAAAGGTGAGCGTGGCACCAGCCACAAAGCCACAAACACATGCAAAGGCAAGTCAATTGTTCACCTGAAAAAGCACGGACTAAGGACTTGGACTAGTTAAAAACTGACTTGGGAAATCTGTTGAAAGTCTGTTGCCAACAGTGGCGCATGATTTGATATAGTTAGAGATATATATCAAGACAACGAATATCCCATCCGCACCCTGCTTTGGTGCTCTATAAAGCTCTGAAAGATTTTGTTAAAAAAACAAACATTTTAGAATCTGCCGATTTTATGAAAAAATGTGCATTAAATACCCATAATACACCTAATAGAAGAATATTAAATGGTGAATTTGGATCTGCTAAACGTGCCTGCTGAAGGGCACTTCGACAGTTCAGAGGACACAGACATGAACATTCCAGAAAACAATTTTGTACTGTTAGGAATAAAAATAAGCAGCATAAAGTTGACAAATTATGCAAATATCTGTGTAACCCAACAACATTTTAGAACGCGATTTGAATTATTAACTTAAAGTCATATACCAATTGCAAAATTAATCCCACCGAATGGTTAACTCATTTCAAAGATGTCTTCCATACTGCTGATATGGTTGAGAACTTAACCAGTTCTGATACAGACACAGATATATGTTATCGTGAGAATTAGGTGAGGTGAGGTGAAATTGGGTTTAACGTCGCGTCCAAGATTATTGCACTTATATAGCGACGTGCATGCACGTGTGTGTGTTTGTGTGTGTGTGTGTGTGTGTGTGTGTGTGTGTGTGTGTGGCTGCTTGTACTAGTCCGGACTGATGCCAATTTATAGTGCTAGCTCACTGAGATACCATACCGCAGTTTAACATGAATACCCCACTCAGACACAGTATACTGACTCCGAGCCGACCAGTCCTTGTTTTTAGCCCCTTAATGTCGAGCGCCAGACAGGGTAACAACAAGTACCATCTTTTAACGTTTTTTGGTATGACGCGGCCGGGACGCTCTACCACTAGACCACGGAGGCGGTCGTGAGAATAAGACTGATATTGATCGATGTATTCGTGATGCCAGTATCACTGTTAATGAGTTTATTGATACAATTTAAAGTCCCCTGAACGGGAAATGTTCTTTTTGAAATGTTAATATGTTCTAAGGAAATAATACTGACCTTCTTGTCAAATATTTTAATGTAAGATGTATTCAAGTGGCCGTTTCCCTAATATCTGGTCGAAATCTATACGTGTACCTCTACACAAAAAGGGTGATCCTAATAATCCAGATAACTAGAATCTCCCTGAAACGTATCCTTCGTAAAGTCTTCACGTGTGTCTGAAATAAGAGACTTCCGCTTTGATCAAATATGAAAGGCCAAATTCCAGAAATGCAAGCTGGTTTTCAAAAACATTATTCCACTACTGACCACATGTTTACGCTTTATGCCATTGTTCAGAAATATCTATTAAGGCGTAAGAAGAAGCTTTATGTAGCATTCGTTGACTTTAAGAAAGCGTTGATTCTGTTAATCGGCATACGTTATAGCTCGGTTTGCAAATTACTGGCATGAGGGGTAAAATGTTACAAATCTTACACAAATCTTACAAAGTATGTACACAAATGTAAGGACATGTGTACGATTTGATGGTCAGTTAACATGCATTTGCGATTGCCATCTTGGGTTAAAACAAGGTTGCTTATTAAGTCCTGTATTATTCTCATTATTCATTAATGAATTAACGAACGATATTGTTGAAAATATTGAATGTTAAGTAGTAAGTTCACATAATGAAAGTGTAAAGAACTTCTCCTGAAATCATAAACAATCTAAAATTAATACTCTCTGATACATCATTGTACATGGTCTCTAACATTGGATCATCATCATCATCATCATCATCATCATCATCATCATCATCATCATAAGGCCATGCTGTGAACGACACTCATACAACCACCAACAACATGATTAATACTAATAATATGGTACACGTCTACAATAAGGCATTTTGATTTCAAGATGGTCAAACACTCCAAGTTCATACATAAGCCATACCCCAACACAACACTCACAGCTAAAACTTTCAGTCGTCTCTTCTATCAATGCCGATTGTGAAAGACATTGGCCATTATTGAACATATGTTCGGACTGAGATATTTTCTTGTTTTACAGATGAAACCTCTTCACATTTTTCAAAAATAAACAAATATATTATTGATTGGAAATAAGTTTTTCTATCAATATGTTCAAAATATTTTTTGCCCCCTCGTGTGAGTTTTTCATGCTATTGTTTGCTGCTGATGTTATGCTTGTATCAGATACTGTTATAGGGCTTCAAAACCAACTGAATATCTTAGAAAGGTTTACAGATGAATGGAAACTTACAGTAAACCTAGATAAAACAAATGTTGTTGTGTTTAGGAGAGGTGGACAACGCGCTATGTTCTAAAACTGGTTTTACACGAATATGCCATGCAGTTAGCCTTGCAGATGAATATAAATACCTTGGTATTCTATTCAGTAAGATTTTGAATTTAGAAAAAAAAGTCCAAACTTTAGCTGTGAGGGCGAAGAAAGCAATGAGCATGTCACTTACCACTGTACCCAAAGTAGAACCTGTTTCACCTCGAGTTTATTTTAAGCTATATGATACCCTAAATGCAGTCGACCCTCTTTCACGGTTAAGAACTTTGGGTACATTTATACGAGTATGCATGTACACAGTTTTTAAAGATGGGAATACCAACTCCGAACTGTATGGTTGATGGCCAATGTGGAAGATATCCGATGCATATTAATGCATAGATTCGTTGTTTAAAATTTTAGAAAAGCACGAAGACCGCCTGCCAAAGGTCAGTTTCTCTTTAATATCGGGAGGCATCTACAAGAGGCTGAGCTTATGCAAAGAGGATTAGCGAGACGCGTGCATTAATATCCATCTTTTGATCACAGAAACTGTTGATTCCATCATCGTATTTGGAGTCCTTTGATCTTGATAATGAGAGTATTGTGTTTCATGTGACCCATCGCACTGAAAATTCGGTTTCCTTGTGTTTGGTTAAACAAGAAAAAACGATGTGCGTTTATTTTGACGCATTAAGTTTGGCATAAAACAATTATCGAAGTGTGAATCCAGCCTTAGTGACTTCACATCTTTGCAAGGTAGGTACAGGCCTTCCTGTGTGATATGTTGTTTGGGGTGAGGTGAATGAGTGAGTGAGTTGGGGTTAACACCGCTTTTAACATTATTCCAGTGATATCACGGCGTGTCAGCTTAATGTGGGAGGAAAGCCCGAAGTGATGCAGGTTTCAGACGTTTACCACTTCGGTGAAACCCACGAGCAGGAGTATGGTGCTGACAAACCTAGAAACATAATCGGGGCGAACCTGGATTCGAACCCACAATCATAGGTTTCTGGCGTGTCCAAGGGACGCAACTCTGCACAGCGAATAACGGCGCCTTAGACGACTGGGCCACCCGTGCCCCGAGATGAAATGGGGATCAAGGTTATTGCACTTAAATAGCGGTGTGTGTGTGTGTGTGTGTGTGTGTGTGTGTGTGTGTCACTTGTTCAACCAAGGTTTGTTTGTTTGGTGTTTGAGATATATGATGGTGGTCTGTAAATAATCAAGCCTGGACCAGACAATCTGATGACTGACATCATCTATTGATGCAGTTGGGATACAATGATATGCATCAACCAAGTCCAAGATCCTAACCACACGATCGCGTTAGTCGTCTCATACCACAAGCATAGTCGTCTCTTACAACAAAAACATAGCCGCCTCTTTGGAAAAGCATGGGTTGCTGAAGACCAATTATAACCCAGATCTTCATGGGTCTTCAACGAAAGGTAACATGTACAGTTTACATAGTGTTGGCTTCATTCCCCGAAAAAGGAAATTGTCACCACATAGAAAAACAAAACAATCGTCTCCAAAACATAATTTATTTTGGCATATTCTTCCGTAAGAAGCAGTGTCTAACAATAGGTTCTGTACACACAATAAATAATGAAATGGAATGTTGGCCATGTAGCATCTGACATGCCAACACAGGTCTTCATGTAACAAAAATAGTTGACATCTGACAGTTTCAGTTACATGACAAGTTCTAAAGTCCCTTATACACAAACTCTGCTATTTACATAAGCAATATTATATAACATACAGCTGGGTGATTAAAACTGGCGCCATTATTTGCAATTTATCACTTTAATTTTGCTAAGCTTAAATCTGTTATTGTCAGGTATTTTGTGAATTATGTGTTTCCATCAACCATAACTCTGTAAGACATTTAAAACCATGATTACATACAGTTAAACACCTGACCATCAATCAGTTCAAGGCTCAATTTCTTCCTAATAATTAATAGACAAATTTAAAGACAATTAAATTCGAAAATTTAAAGACAATTAAATTCGAAAATTTAAAGACAACTAAATTCGAAAATGAAACAATTCTACCAGTGATGAAAGGGTGTAAATATCCGTATTACAAATCACTCTAGTTTGGAGAAATAATACAAAAAAAGTCCCCAGACAATCATACATCGACTTTGTATCTTTCACACATTAGTTAGCATGCACATTTTCCCAATATTTGTGCACTGTTATATGAGACTTGAAATGAGATCGTGATTATTAGCTTATTACATTGATAATCATAACATGCTACCTTGATCATGATCACCTACAAGTGCAGATAATAGCTCCCCTGGATTTGATAAATATAAATATATTACAAGACCAGGGTCTTCTTGTACAAGTGAGTGAGTGAGTATGGTTTTACATCACTTTTAGCAATATTCCAGCAATATTACGGCAGGTGACACCAGAAATGGGCTTCACACATTGTACCCATGTCGGGAATTGAACCTGGGTCTTCGGCATGACGAGCAAGGCGTTTAACGACTATGATCCCTATGTGCAGGTGGACCCTGTACTACAAAAACATCAAGAGCAAAATCAGAAAATGTCGCAAGTATTTAAATATAGGTATCATAAATAACATAATTTTCTTTAAATTTGTTACAGCTAAGAAAATTAATCGACTAACATTTCATATTTTCCACTTGCCAGTTGGACCACTTGGAATTAAAACTGGTTCTGACTTTTGCTTAGGAGCATTTGTCTAGAAGATGTGAGCAAAGATGTGTGGTTTTAAGTCACAGAATTGCATCAACATAAGGGGCGGTCAGGTAGCCTAGTGGTTAAAACGTTTGCTCGTCACGCCGAAGACACGGGTTCGATTCCCGGCATGGGTACAATGTGTGAAGCCCATTTCTGGTGTCCCCCACCATGATATTGCTGGAATATTGCTAAACGTGGCGTAAAACCATATTCACTGACACTGCATCAACATAATGGCACAAAGTATCGAGATGCGGATATCCTTTGATACTTCTTAGCACAAGGATGAATAAATAATTAATTAATATTGCTTCTGCCGCATAAGCATTTATCCAGTTATTTCCCGCGAGTTAGCAAGAAGCTATATTTAATAACATGTATATTTATATAATTGCATATATTATTAATCAGTTTCCTTGCAAATTTCATTGCTTGAACATTGTAATATGTTTGCAATGGATTTGTTTGTCATTTTGTTGAAAATATTGAATGTTAAGTAGTAAGTTCACATAATGAAAGAGTAAAGAACTTCTCCTGAAATCATAAACAATCTAAAATTAATACTCTCTGATACATCATTGTACATGGTCTCTAGCATTGGATCATCATAATCATCATCATCATCATCATCATCATCATCATAAGGCCATGCTGTGAACGACACTCATACAACCACCAACAACATGATTAATACTAATAATATGCTACAGGTCTAAAATAAGGCATTTTGATTTCAAGATGGTCAAACACTCCAAGTATATACATAAGCCATACCCCAACACAACACTCACAGCTAAAACTTTCAGTCGTCTCTTCTATCAATGCCGATTGTGAAAGACATTGGCCATTATAGAACATATATTCGGACTGAGATGTTTTCTTGTTTTACAGATGAAACCTCTTCACATTTTTCCAAAATAAACAAAAATATTATTGATTGGAAATAAGTTGGTCTTCGGATCTCAAATGAATTCAGATAACTTTAAAAATAATTTTTTGCCCCCTCATCTGGAAATATCCAAGAATATCTGCAAAACAAGAAAAAAAAAAGTTTTTGACCAAATTGTCAAACTAGAAAAGAGTATTTCTTTATTCCACTCCTGCTAGGTGAGAGACACATCAGATTGTGAAAATTCTGCAACATCAGAACAAAGGGGTGTTTGACTTAGACTGTTACCCACGTGGTTCTTCTGGAAATGCTGAGGAATCAACAGAGAAGAATGGTGTCCGGTCAAGTTATATCTGCCCTACCCTATATTTTAACTACTCCGATTCTCAGTGTGATGTCTAAATGTAGTCTTATTAGAAGATGATAATAAAATATGGTCAGATTTAATTATTTTCTTGTTTCCATAACAAGTCTAAAAATTGTTTAAATGGAAAATAAATCTTTTCATTTTCATTTTGTTTTCATTTCCTTTCCTTTTATTTTCATTGAAATAATGCATTATAATAAAATATGGTCAGATACATCTTGAAAGTCTTGAAACTTTTCAAAAGTAAAACAAATCATTATGTTTTTATTGAAATATTTAAAAAAAATTTAAAAAATTATTACCTAGAAAAGTGATTTAGTCTTTGTTCGTGCTAACAGAGGTTCCTATATGACTGATTTTACAGGCAAGTATATGACATATTCCACACATGCACCTCCCCCATATCCCAGTTACAACCAATGACTCATGCAGACACACTGGAGTATTGATTTAAAGTAGTCCCTGCTGATCCATCTTAAGTCATAGGTGTCAGTTGTCATGACGATACATAACAGTGTGCGTTGTTATGACGACACATGATATTAGTGTGCATCCTTGTGACGATACATAACTTCAGTGTCCATTGTTGTTATGATACATGTCATCAATTATGTTGTCATAACGATACTTGACATCCGTGTATGTTGTCATAACGATACTTGACATCAATGTGTGTTGTCATAACGATACTTGACATCAATGTATGTTGTCATAACGATACTTGACATCAATGTATGTTGTCATAATGATACTTGACATCAATGTATGTTGTCATAACGATATTTGACATCAATGTATGTTATCATAACGATACTTGACATCAATGTTTGTTGTCATAACGATACTTGACATCAGTATATGTTGTCATAACGATACTTGACATCGGTGTATGTTGTCATAATGATACTTGACATCAGTGTATGTTGTCATAATGAAACATGACATCAGTTAACGTTGTCATGAGACAAAACATCGGTGTGTGTTGTCATAATGATAGTATGTTGTCATGATACACAACATCAGTGTGTGTTGCCATGACGATACACAACCCTAGTGTGTGTTGCCATGACGATACACATCAGTGTGTGTTGTCATAATGATAGTATGTTGTCATGATACGCAACATCAGTGTGTGTTGCCATGACGATACACAACATCAATGTGGGTTGCCAAGACGACACACAATATCAGTGTATGTTGTCATGACGATGATGTGTGTTGTTCAGCCGCTGAGCCAATCCAGGTCATCATCATCATCGTCATCCCCAAACAGCGGCGGTGGTGGTGCCGACTTGAGGTCCTGTAACAAAAACAATGTCTTAAAGATACAAGCCTGATTAGCCTGATTAGCCTATTAGAAGATTAGCCAGAAATTAGCCAGAAATTAGCCTAAAATTGGAAACTAGTCCTGCTAGCCAAGATCAGTTTTGTTAAAACTATGCTAGGTTGAAGAAATTCAAACATTTTAGGGGGTATTTCTATGTGTTATCACTCAACACGCAACACTCAACAATGGATGACATCATATTGTATATTTCTCAACAATGAACTGCTGTGATGTCATATGACTTCAACTGACCAATCATCACGGAGAATCGCTACAAAGCAGGTATGGAAATATTGGGATGTTATGACACACAATCATTCTACCCTTCTGGGTAATAATGGATTATCTCCCCCTTATGAATTCGTATTGACAGTCACTCGGCTCTTATTTCATTACTGGGGGCAAACAGTTGGTTGATTGGTTTGTTGTTTAACGCCGCACTCACCAATATTCCAGCTATGTGACGGCGGTCTGTAAATAATCAAGTCTGGACCAGACAATCCAGTGATTGACATCATGAACATCGATCCACAAAATTGACCACCCAATCCCGTTAGTAACTTCTTACGACAAGCATAATCGCCTTTTACAGCAAGCATGGGTTGCTGATGACCTATTCTACTCCGGATCTTCACGGTTCGGGGGCAAACAGAATGAAATGGAGCATATGTTAGCTCCAAGAACAAACAGCTCTGTTTAACTGGTGCTTACCTCATCTCCTGCCAGCTCATCTTTAGTTGGCATCTTGTTGGATTTTTTCTCATCCTTCGTCTTCTCCTTGGCAGGGGTGTTCAAGTTGGACCCAAGGGTGTCAGACACAGTGCTGTCATTCCCGAACAGAGGGCTGCAAATAACATTCATTGAAAGACATCAGAGATCTTGCTTTAAGTGAATATGTGCACGCATGTGCATATATGTTTGTTTAACGCTGCACTCAGCAATATCCAAGCAATATGACGGCCGTCTGTAAGTAATTGAGTCTGGACCAGACAATCCAGTGATGAACATGATGACGATTGATTCACAGTTTCACACCATTGGGATACGATGACAGGCTGCCAATAAAGTCTCAGAGTCTGATGATCAGCATCAATCTACACATTTGGGATAGGATGATATGTGCAATCAACAAGTGAGTGATTGAGTATGGATTTATGCCGCTTTTAGCAATATTCCAGCAATATCACACCGGGGGACTCTAGAAATGGGCTTTACACATTGTACCCATGTCGGGAATCGAACCCGGTTTTTCAGCGTGACGAGCGAACGCTTTAACCACTAGGCTACCCGACCGCCCCATCGGTCCAAGTAGTTGCCTTTTATGACAAGCAAATGTTAATGGAAACCCATAGTCTAATACAGCTGTCAGTGAATCTGGATACCCTTGCTTGACAAAGGGACACAACTCTACACATAAGTGATAAGGAGCCACAAGGCACTCAGGGGACGGTCATATATCGTTAGGGTGGGTGGATCAGAGGGAGTCGGGGGAGGGTCACCAAACAATATGACAGTCTCTAGGGGAGGGTCATAAATAATAATACACATATTTTGGGAGGGTCACGAAAAAAGGGACATTTAAAAAAAAAAATGCTTTTGCATTTTGTCTTTTCAGGGAGGGTCATGAAAGAAATGTTCAAGGACATGGGGAGGGTCATTCAAATATATGACAAGCATTAGGGGTGGGGTAATTATTTTCAGTACATTAGTGCATCAAATATCTCGGTCCAAGAAATAAATTAAACATGGAAATATTCATTTTTATTCTATCTCCTGCTAGTATTATAGACCCTCCTACACAATGAATGTCTACATCACTATCAGTGATTCAAGAAGCTGGCTGCAGTTTTAAATCCATGGCAGAATGATATTCATATAAATAATATATAGTTTTTATATTTATATTTTGACCAACCTTGTGTGGAAAAGCTGGAATAAATCCGTGAAACATAAAATTAAAAAAGTGTAGCCTTAAGTTGCCCTGTCCGACAGGCATAGGTTGCCAGGCTCTTACTATGAGCTTGAGGTACTGGGGGACTTCTAGGGGACTGGGGGACCTATTCTGACATGGAAGCCCTGCAGGTACCCCAAAGTTCAGCGGAAGAAACAAACAGTTTTAGTTAATGATAACATATAGCAAACCTCTTAAAAATGGCAAATTTCTACTTGTCCTTATGATACCTGAACTATTTGGCAGTTTCGCAAGGACTACAGGACTAGTGTCAATTTGAAGTTACTCGCCTGTTGAAGTCAGTCTAGAAATTCTCACCTGTCCCCATCTTCCTCATCATCGAAGAACGGTGGCGGTTCTCTTAAGGCCAGTGTAGGCAGACCTTCTGTCTGGGATATGGTGGAACCTGATCGCGACTGTTTCCCTGACGACGATCCAGAGACAGTTCGTGGATTACTTGAATCTGACTGGTCCTTTTTTGAATTCACAACATCTGATGGCTTGGTACTGTCTGGTTTGTTCTTGTTCACATCATCCTTGTCTGGCTTTGAGCTGGACAAGATATCCGGAAGAGGTTGTTCTGGCGACATGGAATCTGTTTTTAAACTGTCAGCTGATTGACTGGGTGATACTTTCGAACTATCATCTGACTGACTGGTGGAAGAAATGTCAGATGGTGATTTAATGTCTTCTGATTGGCTGCTAGGTGTATCTGGTGATGCCTTGCTCGCCTCTGATTGGCTGGATCCTGATTGAGCAGTTTCTGGTTTTCCATCCTTCTCTTCATCCTCTTTAGCACCTACAAAATAGAACAAAACATGGATCAGTTTGTAAATGACAGTTTGAGTATAGTCTAAGGCCATCTATATCTGTTTGTGTTTCTCATCTCCAACCTCAACCAGCAAGAGAGTAGTGCTTTCCACTAACAGTGTAACTTATTTTATGACATTTTCAAGTTTAGAAAATTTGGTTCCTTGCTTCGGAAACAACCTGGCCGAAGAAAGATCAAGCTGACCTGGGTTTTATATGAGTGTCCAATGGTAAGAGTAATTTTTTCTATCACATTGGGGCATAAATTTCCACAGCAGCGGTGCAATTTGAGTTAAAGAAAACTTTTTATTATTTCATGGCAGAACTAAAATTTAGCGCAGACAGGAGAGGGGAAACACAGAGTGAGTGAGTGAGTGAGTGAGTGAGTTTGGTTTAACGCTGCTTTTAACAGTATTCCAGTTATATCACGGCGTGTCCGCTTAATGTGGGAGGAAAGCCCGAAGTGATGCAGGTCTCGGACGTTTACCACTTCGGTGAAACCCACGAGCACGGGTATGGTGCTGACAAACCTAGAAACATAATCGGGGCGAACCGGGATTCAAACCCACAATCATAGGTTTCTGGCGTGCCCAAGGGACGCAACTCTGCACAGCGAATTGCGGCGCCTCAGACGAATGGGCCACCCGTGCCCCCTGGGAAACACAGCGACAAACAGAGACATTCTAATGAATAGTAGGCGATCTGCACACACATTACAAATTGTTAAAAGTAGGTGATATACTACAAGTCAAATCAAACAAAAGTAGGAAGTAAATGCACACAAATATTAAATAAAACAGCTTTCTCATGATTTTGGTGAGATTTTCAAACTCATGGTAAAGGACAACCTACATACTGACAGAAAATCAACATCATCTTGAGTGAGTGAGTGAGTGAGTGAGTGAGTGAGTGAGTGAGTGAGTGAGTGAGTGAGTGAGTGAGTGAGTGAGTGAGTGAGTGGGTGAGTGAGTGAGTGAGCTTTGAACAGTATTTCAGATATATCATGGGGTGTCAGCCTAATGTGGGAGTAATGCAGGTCTCCGACGTTTACTACTTTGGTGAAACCCACGAGCACGGGTATGGTGCTGACAAACACATAATCGGGGCGAACCGGGATTCAACTCTGGGGAGGCAACTCTGCACAGCTAATTGTGGCACCTTAGACGACTGGGCCACCATACATAATCTTGACCATATAATTAAATAATAATTTTAAGAAAGTATTGCTTATAAGCATTGGTCTTGTTTTGATGACTTGAATAGCTTGACCTCCCCGATGCAATGATAAAGGTTGATTACTGATAATCCTGCTCTAACAAACCTGACACTGCTGATGGTCAATTTGACACTAAATGCCTGCCACAAGTCCACATGTCTATCCCCACCATGTGTCCATCAACATGTCCACATGTCTTTCCCCACCATGTGTCCACCACATGTCCACATGTCTATCCCCACCATGTGTCCACCACATGTCCACATGTCTATCCCCACCAGGTGTCCACCACATGTCCACATGTCTATCCCCACCAGGTGTCCACCACATGTCCACATGTCTATCCCCACCATGTGTCCACCACATGTCCACATGTCTATCCCCACCATGTGTCCACCACATGTCCACCATACTCCAACTATAGCCCCACCATGTACCACCACCACCCCATTGTGATCCCCGATCCCAGAAGATCCAGGTAAGAATAGGTCTTCTGCAACCCATGCTTGCCGTAAAAGGCAGCTATGCTTGTCGCAAGAGGCGACTAACGGGATCGGGTGGTCAGGTTCGCTGACTTGGTTGATGCATGTCATTGTATCCCAATTGCATGGATCGATGCTCATAGTGTCAATCACTTGAATGTCTGGTCCAGATAGTCATATAGCTCGAATATTGCTGAGTGCCGCATTACACAAACAAACAAACAAACAAACAAACAAACAAACAAACAAACCTTTGTCTGCCTGTGTAGCTGCTGGCTTGACTTCAGCATCAGTTGTATCTGTAATAGAGACACATTCACATACAAGCCACTCTAACACAGCAACATAGGAAACAAAGAGGTTGACAAATTACCCAAAAAAATATTTGATACATAAGTAGCAATGTTTGTATTACCTGATTGCATAATTTATCAAAGACCATAAACACATAAATATACCTGGTACTCAAAATACATCCTGAGTGAAATATTAGAAATTGGTTAATTTTGTTGGTTAATGGTTACAAGATACATCTGTGAATACTGCAGAGGTGTCAGGCTTTGAAATAAGGCTCAAACATTGTGAAATGTGGTATATATACATATTCATCATATGATATAAAACGTAAGACAAAAACATGTTGTATTTAGAAAGGTCATTACATTTCGCATTTCCTAATTATTAAAACAGTGCAATAAAATTACTTTGTTTTTACATCTAGCATGTTTAATATTGGAAACTACGTCAACTACGTGAAACAGCTAATGATCTTGATGGATTCTACGAGTTAGTAACTCCAACATATTTTTGGGTGCCTTTCAACATAGAGCAAACTTGGCTCTTTTGTTCGGATGTTTTTCACAACACCATAAGGTCAGTTGTTGAAATGAAACGAAAAATAAAATCAATTCGACATTTGTGGAGTTTGGGTCAGCTTATGCCTAGAGTATGTAATTTAAAAGAAAAAGTCGTGATTCCAGTGATATAAACTCTAGCAGCTAAGTGTGAATCTCCAAGGATGAATAATAACCGACACCACCAATATATAAAACAGAGGGCAAAGAATAGGTTGATTATAAGAAGCAACAAAGCATGGATGAGGAGGTGGGGTGGTGATGCTCTATCGACTGGACCACAGGGGTGGTCACAGGGTGAGGAGGGGTTATTTGAGACAGAAGACAGTTACCATCTTTGTACAGTGGACTCCTGATAATCAGGACTGTATCCCAGAACAGGTCCTTGTGAAATCATCCAGATTTCAGATGGATAATTATTAATTATGGAATTATGCATGTATACATGTGACGTCCTGAATAGTAATTATCCCTTATGCAGGGTGTCCAGGCTAACAGGGTTTTGCTATATGTCACCAGTGTGTTCAAGACTTATCATGTAGGCGTTTGAAAAGCAATATTTATTGGTTTGTTGCATACCTTTTTTTCATAGTAATGAAATTTCTACAAATAATAAAATACTTAATCTCATAATGTGATAGTCACCATAATTTCCAAAAGTATTATCAATGTAGAATGAACAAAATGGTCAATATTTTCTTTCTTATCACATGAAATACTTTACACAATGGTTTGGAATATACTTCATTTCATTTGGGGAGGGGCAGAAGTTTATCTGATTATTGTGGACTACCTTTATGTAATGAAGGCCCAATGTGCCTTGGACTCACACTTGGACTACCTTTATGTAATGAAGGCCCAATGTGCCTTGGACTCACACTTGGACTACCTTTATGTAATGAAGGCCCAATGTGCCTTGGAATCAGCCTTGGACTAACTTGGAAGTAATGAAGGCCCAATGTGCCTTGGAATCAGCCTTGGACTAACTTGAAGTAATGAAGGCCCAATGTGCCTTGGAATCAGCCTTGGACTAACTTGAAGTAATGAAGACCCAATGTGCCTTGGACTACCTTTATGTAATGAAGGCCCAATGTGCCTTGGACTCACACTTGGACTAACTTGAAGTAATGAAGGCCCAATGTGCCTTGGAATCAGCCTTGGACTAACTTGAAGTAATGAAGACCCAATGTGCCTTAGACTACCTTTATGTAATGAAGGCCCAATGTGCCTTGGAATCAGCCCTGGACTACCTTAATGTAAAGAAGGCCCAATGTGCCACTGACTCACCCTTGGACTAACTCGAAGTAATGAAGGCCCAATGTGCCTTGGACTCACCCTTGGACAAATCAGCTGAGGAATCACCTCAGCATAAGCATGAGGTACTGGTGAAATATTCTGCCATAAAGTCATCCAAGGAAAGTAAAATGAAAGCCCACTCTACCCCTGGAGTCCATTCTTCTGATATCTCAAAAGTATTGGGTATAAACCATACCTCCTATTGTTATAATCCTGCCTCAAGGTAGGTGCTAAGAAATAATCATACGACAGGGAATAGGAACAGGGTTACTTTGTGAGTAACATCAACGTGTTGCCATTTGACACAGATAATGAACTACTGTGCCTTGGAGGTCCCACAACAAAACTATAGGTGTATTGGCCAAAACACCGAGAAAGCTATGGGTGCAACTACATCCAGACATTGTCATGGTAACATGGTAAGAATGAGGTGGCTACTTCAAGAAGGTGCTCAGTAGGTTAAATAGAGTATAAAGTGAGGTATAAGCCATACAAGGAATAACTTCCACAGCCTGAAAATCCTCAATCCCTGTTGATGCTGTGAAGAAAAGGACAGAGGTAAGTAACCTGAACCAAGCAATGCCAGAAGCTGAGAGTATTCCTAGAGGCTACATGGCCCATGGCTATACTCGGCCAATAATGAGAACAGTAGAGAAGAGGTACCACTGAAGCCAGACTAGTTTCTCACCCTTCCTCGATTGTTTGTCCAGATTTGTCTTGTGGTATGGATTGCCCTTATCGCCAAGAGCTTGTCTTGTTGAGCTTGCCATCACTGGTTCAATGGTATCAGGCTGAGCCATCAACGGGTTCTGAGTGGCTGGGGCTAAGGCGGTGGTCATTTTGCTTTTGGATTTTTTACTTCTGGATTTCTTGCTGCTAGATTTATCAAGCTTTGCCTTGTAACGAGGGTTCCCTTTGTCTCCAAGGGCCTGGCTAACTGAGGTTGACATCACAGGTTCAATGATGTCCGTCTTTCCTTTTGGGGGAGCCTGATTTGTTGAGCTACCAGCAGATTTGGTCATCTTAGGTTCTTCTGACTTGTCCAGCTGTTTCTTGTGATAAGGGTTCCCCTTGTCTCCAAGGGCCTGGCTAACAGAGGTTGACATCACAGGTTCAATGACGTCAGTCTTTCCTTTTGGGGGAGCCTGATTTGTTGAGCTACCAGCAGATTTGGTCATCTTAGGTTCTTCTGACTTGTCCAGCTGTTTCTTGTGATAAGGGTTGCCTTTGTCTCCAAGGGCCTGGCTAACTGAGGTTGACATCACAGGTTCAATGACGTCAGTCTTTCCTTTTGGGGGAGCCTGATTTGTTGAGCTACCAGCAGATTTGGTCATCTTAGGTTCTTCTGACTTGTCCAGCTGTTTCTTGTGATAAGGGTTCCCTTTGTCTCCAAGGGCCTGGCTAACTGAGGTTGACATCACAGGTTCAATGACGTCAGTCTTTCCTTTTGGGGGAGCCTGATTTGTTGAGCTACCAGCAGATTTGGTCATCTCAGGTTCTTCTGACTTGTCCAGTTGTTTCTTGTGGTAAGGGTTCCCTTTGTCTCCAAGGGCCTGGCTAACTGAGGTTGACATCACAGGTTCAATGACGTCAGTCTTCCCTTTGGGTGGAGCCTGATTTGTTGAGCTGCCAGCAGATTTGGTCATCTTAGGTTCTTCTGACTTGTCCAGCTGTTTCTTGTGATAAGGGTTCCCTTTGTCTCCAAGGGCCTGGCTAACTGAGGTTGACATCACAGGTTCAATGACGTCAGTCTTTCCTTTTGGGGGAGCCTGATTTGTTGAGCTACCAGCAGATTTGGTCATCTTAGGTTCTTCTGACTTGTCCAGTTGTTTCTTGTGGTAAGGGTTCCCTTTGTCTCCAAGGGCCTGGCTAACTGAGGTTGACATCACAGGTTCAATGATGTCTGTCTTTCCTTTTGGGGGAGCCTGATTTGTTGAGCTACCAGCAGATTTGGTCATCTTAGGTTCTTCTGACTTGTCCAGCTGTTTCTTGTGATAAGGGTTCCCTTTGTCTCCAAGGGCCTGGCTAACTGAGGTTGACATCACAGGTTCAATGACACCTGAATTCTGAGAAGGGGTTGGTTGGTTTTTCGTTTTTGACATCTTGGGCTGAGCACTCAAAGCTTGGTTTGTTGAACTAGCCATCACTGGTTCAATGGTGCGAGTTTTGTCCAGTTGTTCTTTATGATAAGGATTGCCCTTGTCACCTGTTGGTTGGTTTGTGGTTTTTGACATCTTGGGCTGAGCACTCAAGGCTTGGTTGGCTGAACTAGCCATCACTGGTTCAATGGTGCGAGCTTTGTCCAGTTGTTCTTTATGATAAGGATTGCCCTTGTCACCAGTTGGTTGGTTTGTGGTTTTTGACATCTTGGGCTGAGCACTCAAAGCTTGGTTGGTAGAACTTGCCATCACTGGCTCGATTGTTACAGCTTTGTCCAATTGTTCTTTATGATAAGGATTGCCCTTGTCACCAGTTGGTTGGTTTGTGGTTTTTGACATCTTGGGCTGAGCACTCAAAGCTTGGTTGGTTGAACTAGCCATCACTGGTTCAATGGTGCGAGCTTTGTCCAGTTGTTCTTTATGATAAGGATTGCCCTTGTCACCAGTTGGTTGGTTTTTCGCTTTTGACATCTTGGGCTGAGCACTCAAAGCTTGGTTGGTTGAACTTGCCATCACTGGTTCGATGGTGCGAGCTTTGTCCAGTTGTTCTTTATGATAAGGATTGCCCTTGTCACCAGTTGGTTGGTTTGTGTTTTTTGACATCTTGGGCTGAGCACTCAAAGCTTGGTTGGTTGAACTAGCCATCACTGGTTCGATGGTGCGAGCTTTGTCCAGTTGTTCTTTATGATAAGGATTGCCCTTGTCACCTGTTGGTTGGTTTTTCGCTTTTGACATCTTGGGCTGAGCATTCAAAGCTTGGTTGGTTGAACTTGCCATCACTGGCTCGATGGTTACAGCTTTGTCCAGTTGTTCTTTATGATAAGGATTGCCCTTGTCGCCAGTTGGTTGGTTTGTGGTTTTTGACATCTTGGGCTGAGCACTCAAAGCTTGGTTTATTGAACTAGCCATCACTGGTTCGATGGTGCGAGCTTTGTCCAATTGTTCTTTATGATAAGGATTGCCCTTGTCACCAGTTGGTTGGTTTGTGGTTTTTGACATCTTGGGCTGAGCACTCAAAGCTTGGTTGGTTGAACTAGCCATCACTGGCTCGATGGTTACAGCTTTGTCCAGTTGTTCTTTATGATAAGGATTGCCCTTGTCACCAGTTGGTTGGTTTGTGGTATTTGACATCTTGGGTTGAGCACTCAAAGCTTGGTTGGTCAAACTCGCCATCACTGGCTCAATGGTTGCAGCTTTGTCCAGTTGTTCTTTATGATAAGGATTGCCCTTGTCACCTGTTGGTTGGTTTGTGGTTTTTGACATCTTGGGCTGAGCACTCAAAGCTTGGTTGGTTGAACTAGCCATCACTGGCTCAATGGCTGCAGCTTTGTCCAGTTGTTCTTTATGATAAGGATTGCCCTTGTCACCTGTTGGCTTTTGTGTGGTTTTTGACATTTTGGGCTGAGCACTCAAAGCCTTCCCCGATGAACTCTTCATTATTGATTCCACTAGGTGAGCAAAGAGACAATGAGCAAAAGACAAAAATATTACATGCAAAAACAAAACCAGTAGATAATACTTTATGAAATAATACATAACATCAGAATCTGAAAGTTACACTCCATTTCTCATAATGGAACAAAACATCTTTCCAGATGGAATTTCCTGCCATTAACTTTCTGATCGATAATACCCTGGGGTCTCACAGGATATATTGTCTGAGCAATATGAAATGCAAAAGTAAACAGGATCACTGACCCATGTTAAACTACCCTTCCAGTAAGTAGATATTTGGTTTCTTTTATAGTTTAGCCCCATGATAAATATATCTGGGTGCTAAGAAAAATGAGTAGTTTTTCCTTCATATGCTGGAGATGCCATCTGCAATCCTTATTCATTATGTTACAATTATGTGTTTGCGCTAAATACATGAAGACATTATATATATGCCATGGGCCATTTGAAATGCTCTTGATCATGCTGTTGGGTGTTTTGAGGAGCAGGACCATCAATGCCTTGAAGACAGTGAGTGAGTGAGTTGGGTTTAACGCCGCTTTTAACAGTATTCCAGTTATATCGTGGCGTGTCAGCTTAATGTGGGAGGAAAGCCCGAAGTGATGCAGGTCTCAGACGTTTACCACTTCGGTGAAACCCACGAGCACGGGTATGGTGCTGACAAACCTAGAAACATAATCGGGGCGAACCGGGATTCGAACCCACAATCATAGGTTTCTGGCGTGCCCAAGGGACGCAACTCTGCACAGCGAATCGCGGCGCCTTAGACGACTGGGCCACCCGTGCCCCCGCCTTGAAGACAGTACTCATTAACTTGAAAACTAGTACAGTGATTCTGGAGCTGGGGTATTGACCCCGAAAAACAAAAACAACCTGACCCTCCCTTTCTGAGCAAAATGGGCCACTCCATGAACGATTTTAGCATTACGACTGTCCCATCTATGTCAAAGTATGGGAGTAACGATCATCTTAGCGCTAAGATCACTTTGAGGAATGGGCCAGGTTCATCATTTACCATGTCACCTATATCCATTAGTTATCCAGTGTGAATAGTATGACTCTGTGCGGTGTGTATGCTTCTGTGGGAGAGGGATCTATACAGGACAGTACAGCAGGCAGGGTCTGGACAACACAGACAGGGGTCGACTGGTACCATGTGCCAGCTGCACAGTGCAAACTACGCTACACAAGCAACAGGTCAGGGTTACTTTACATGCTGATTCAATATGTTATTCTTAGTTTCGAAATGTTGTACCCAGTATTTGATGGTGGACAAGATTGACAACACAAATGGAGCGGTAAATAATATAAGACATGTATGCTACACTAAGATAGCTCTCGCAGGGATAACCACAAGCTGAGACATAGTTTGTCAGTTATTGATACCAAGGCAAGTTGATTGTTAAGTGACCGACTGAGTAACTCATTGATTTTGTACAGTGATGCATTATATATAGGAGGAATTGTGTAGCGTAGCTTGTGCAGTGCAACCAGGACATGGCAGCAGACACGGGACATAGGGTAATGACTGACTGACTTACCTGGAACTGCTGGTTCACTTGGGGCAGTGGCTGCATCCGTCTGCTCAGTCTCGGTCTTCACTGATGATTCTGTCACTGGTTCTGTCACTGGTTCTGTCACTGGTTCCGTCACTGGTTCTGTCACAGACTCAGTCACAGATTCTACCACAGATTCTACCACTGGTTCTGGCACAGATTCTACCACTGGCTCTATCACAGGCTCTGGCACAGGTTCTGGCACAGGTTCTGGCACAGGTTCTGTAACACAGCAACAGAGTCTCCTAAAGTTAAACCATCATGATGAGGTCAAACTTTTGTTTCACTTCTTTCAGAGGCATTTAGAAACCGGAGTACTAAGTAAGATATATGGATTAACAACTTCTATATTACAATTCGGAGGGGTGTTTCGGTGTAGGTTAGAACGTCACTCCCCACTGAAACTATTGCTGTTGCAGTTGGTTCTGAGCCAAGATTTAACAGGCCATTCTGAACGTACATTTTAACAAGTAAAACTGATGTGACTATAGGTCATGATGCCCAAATTATAGAGAAATTAAATATCAGTCATAACATGTTTTAAGTGAGAAAATCACTGGAATGTTTTGACTCCAAAAGTAAAATCAAAAGATGGAATCGATTTCTCCATTCCAGGCTACACAACGCAATCACAGAAGCACCGACTCCTCCACCTATATGCAAGTGAACACCATGTTATGGTTGCATGACTTGCCTTGAACTCAGTCTACAAAACCAATAAACCTGATAACCTTAATTTGCCCCTTTGATGTTTGTAAATCAACACCAACAAAAGCATAATATATATTATGTTCGTTTGTTTGTTTGTTTGTTGTTTTACGCCGCACTCAGCAATATTCCAACTATATGACTGTGGTCTGTAGATAATTCAGTTTGGCCCAGACAATCCAGTGATTGATATCATGAACATCGATCCACGCAATTGGGATACGATGACATGCATCAACCAAGTCAGTGAGCTTGACCACCCGATCCCGTTAGTCGCCTATTATGACAAGCATGGTCGTCTTTTACAGCAAGCAAGGGTTGCTGAAGACCTATTCTACTCCGGATCTTCACAGGTCAATTTGCTATTATGATATTCATGATACACATCACACAGAGAATTATGGCACCTTTGACAACTGGGTTTCCCTTGCTGCCAAATCAAATTACTGGGGAATTAGATGACAAATTTATTCAGTTAAGTCACAGGCCTTTCAAGGGCTGTCACTCAACCAAGTACTGTTCATTTTCATGGCCATTTCATGGTAAAGGAACATGACAGATGATATATGTGTGTGTGTGTGTTTGTGTTCGGAGTGTTATTGTTGAATGCCACACTCAGCAATATTCCAGCCATATGAAAGGGCCAGTAAAAAATTGAGTCTAATCCAGACGATCCAGTGACCGATGTTGTGATCAATGATCCACACCGTCAGGGAAAAATGACACACAATCAATCAAGTCACTGAGCCTGACCACCCGAACAATTTCTTACCGGAATCCCCACGACAAGCATAGGTTGCTGGGGACCAATTCTAACCAGGAATCCCTGGGACCAGCATAGGTTGATGAGGACCTATTCTAATCCAGAATCCCTGGGACAAGCATAGGTTGCTGAGGACCTATTCTAATCCAGAATCCCTGGGACCAGCATAGGTTGCTGAGGACCTATTCTAATCCAGAATCCCCGGGACCAGCATAGGTTGCTGAGGACCTATTCTAATCCAGAATCTCTGTGACCAGCATAGGTTGCTGAGGACCAGTTCTAATCCAGAATCCCTTGGACCAGCATAGGTTGCTGGGGACCTATTCTAATCCAGAATCCCCACGACCAGCATAGGTTGCTGAGGACCTATTCTGATCCAGAATCCCAACGACCGGCATAGGTTGCTGGGGACCTATTCTAATCCAGAATCCTCGGGACCAGCATAGGTTGCCGGGGACCTATGCTAATCCAGAATCCCCGGGACCAGCATAGGTTGCTGGGGACCTATTCTAACTGGAATCCCCACGACCAGCATAGGTTGCTGGGGACCTATTCTAACCGGAATCCCCACGACCAGCATAGGTTGCTGGGGACCTATTCAAATCCAGAATCCCCACGACCGGCATAGGTTGCTGGGGACCTATTCTAACCGGAATCCCCACGACCAGCATAGGTTGCTGGTGACCAAATCTAACCAGAATCCCCGCGGGTGACAGATGATGTACATCTAATGAACTACTGGAGCGGAGAAAGAAGTTCACCTGTTGTCTGGGGTGGTTCTGGTGGTAGTTCTGGGGTGGGCTCTGTCACAGAACTGCTAGTCTGACTGACACTTTCTGATACCTTCTCTGAAACACAAAAGGGAACAGGTCACCATCAAATGTTCTGTCAGCGTGTGTACATCAAAATTAACTCTAGAGACAACTAAAAACACCTTAATGAAGAGACTTAAATAAGTGATTTACATACTGCTATTGTACCCGATCAATCAAAAGTCTTGTGGCACTGCACCTGATCAAATACAAGTCTTGTGATATTGCACCTGATGAAACACCAATCTCATTAACATCAGATCATTGTGCTTGCTCCTGCCACACATAGAGCTGAAGACATTTTATTACAAGTCAAGTCAGAATGACCTTTCACCAACTTTGACCAACCAACAGAATGACTAACAGGAAGTAGACATTAGCCAATAAGAAGGCAGCTTTCATTTCAAGTACAAGTCTTGTATTACACCTGATCAAGTACAAGTCTTGTATTACACCTGGTCAAGTACAAGTCTTGTATAACACCTGGTCAAATACAAGTCTTGTATTACACCTGGTCAAATACAAGTCTTGTATTACACCTGGTCAAATACAAGTCTTGTATTATTCCACCTAGTCAAATACAAATCTTGTATTATTCCACCTGGTCAAGTACAAGTCTTGTATTATTCCACCTGGTCAAATACAAGCCTTGTATTACACCTGGTCAAGTACAAGTCTTGTATAACACCTGTCAAGTACAAGTCTTGTATTACACCTGATCAAATACAAGTCTTGTATTACACCTGGTCAAATACAAGTCTTGTATTACACCTGGTCAAATACAAGTCTTGTATTATTCCACCTGGTCAAGTACAAGACTTGTATTTCACATTGTCAAGTACAAGTCTTATATTACACCTGTGTCAAGTACAAGTCTTGTATTATTCCACCTGGTCAAGTACAAGACTTGTATTATACCTGTTAAGTACAAGTCTTGTATTACACCTGTGTCAAGTACAAGTCTTGTATTACACCTGGTCAAGTACAAGACTTGTATTTCACATTGTCAAATACAAGTCTTGTATTATTCCACCTGGTCAAGTACAAGACTTGTATTTCACATTGTCAAGTACAAGTCTTATATTACACCTGTGTCAAGTACAAGTCTTGTATTATTCCACCTGGTCAAGTACAAGACTTGTATTATACCTGTTAAGTACAAGTCTTGTATTACACCTGTGTCAAGTACAAGTCTTGTATTACACCTGGTCAAGTACAAGACTTGTATTTCACATTGTCAAATACAAGTCTTATATTACACCTGTGTCAAGTACAAGTCTTGTATTTCCCCTTATCAAGTACAAGTCTTATATTACACCTGTGTCAAGTACAAGTCTTGTGTTTCACCTTTTCAAGTACAAGTCTTGTATTATACCTGTTAAGTACAAGTCTTGTATTACACCTGTGTCAAGTACAAGCCTTGCATTACACCTGGTCAAGTACAAGTCTTGTATTACACCTTGTCAAATACAAATCTTGTATTATTCCACCTGGTCAAGTACAAGTCTTGTATTACACCTGGTCAAGTACAAGTCTTGTATTACACCTGGTCAAGTACAAGTCTTGTATTACACCTGGTCAAGTACAAATCTTGTACTACACCTGGTCAAGTACAAGTCTTGTATTATTACAGCTGGTCAAATACAAGTCTTGTATTCCCCCTGGTCAAACACTAGGACATCAAAACTGAGATACCCAAACAGCTGAACTGGGACATCAAAGTATTGGTGACCAGGTTTTGCTGAAGAAGACTGATGTGGCGTGATGAATGAGATCAAAGCAGTCACATCATCAAGGGTTTGTTTTTCTAGAAGGAAGCTGACATGTCGTCCGTCCAGCACATCTCAGTGTGCAGTAGACCCTGCTGACTAACAGTGATGCTGTTTGACACGAAGAAGGCTGTAATATAGTCAGTTTTTCAATTATTCATTATTTGCTCGGGAGACCAAAAATAACTATCATCTTTAATGTTGTTTTATATCTTTATTGCTATAAAATATTCCAACAATTGTGCTGGAAATAACTGTCTTACCCATTTTCAGATAAATATGTCATATGCAAAATGTTTCTTGTTCTTTGTTCAACTTTTATGACACATCAGTTAGGATGCTGATTTTCTTTACCGAGTTTGGTAAACAAAGTATCATTAGCGACTCAAGGGCAAGCGACTCTATATTATCGCGGTATCACTATTTTGTGGTGTGATTCATTACTTCCTGTTTTGGAGTATGCATAAACAGTATGCATACGACTAAGTTTGGGTCAACATGGTCAAGGGACATTGTCCAAACAGATGGGTTCTTTTATAACCAATTTCGAAAGGAGGTAGTGGTAATTCCACTTCCAACGAGTCCTGTATTTGATCAAGCGATGAGTGAGTGAGTATGGCTTTAGCAATATTCCAGCAATATCATGGGACACCAGAAATAAGCTTCACACATTGTACTCATGTGGGGAATTGAACCCTGGTCTTCGGAGCGATGAACAAACGCTTTAACCACTAGGCTACCCACCGCCCGATCACACGATGAAATATCAAGCTTCGACAGGAGCTGTGGATTCCAAGATTTACCGATACCGTGATAATATGGAGTCATACTAAATACACATCCACAAAAGTTAACTGATACAAAAACAATGATTTCATTACAGTGATTCCTAAACATCACATGATCTTACAGGGCTCCATTGAAGGAACTTGATTTAACTTGCACCAGGCGCATGTTGACATGAAAACCTCGTTGCACCAGACAAAACCAGGTTGCACCCATGTCCCATAAATGTATCAAAGCTGAAGCTGAAGCATAAACTAGGATAAACAAGTGCAAAAGTGAGCGTGGCTCACTAATACCCCCGACCCGCCTAGTGTGTCAGTAGTTACAAATTAAATAGCTAGGATAGGGTTAGGGTTTGAAAAATTCATAAAAAAATGGAAAATTAATAAAAACAATTTTTTTCTTTTGACTGCACCCCTTCATATGACACAGATTATATGTACTAAGTTTGAGATGAATCCACTGATTAGTTTAAAAGAAATCACGTGGACAAAGTTTTCGGACGGATGTTAGGGTTTGAAAAAATTCATTTAAAAATGGAAAATTAATAAAAACAATTTTTTTCTTTTGACTGCACCCCTTCATATGACATAGATTATATGTACTAAGTTTGAGATGAATCCACTGAATAGTTTAAAAGAAATTGCGCGGACAAAGTTTTCGGACGGACGTTAGGGTTTGAAAAATTCATAAAAAAATAGAAAATTAATAAAAACATTTTTTTTCTTTTGACTGCACCCCTCCATATACCGGTAATACAGATTATATGTACTAAGTTTGAATTGAATCCCCGGAATAGTTTAAGAGAAATCGCGCGGAACCTTGGCATATATAATAAGTAAAATCTCAGGCCTCTGATGACTGTGCCATGTGTCATGAAGAACACAAAACACAGGGAGAAGTGGTATAGTATCAGGCCTCAAAGTTGCGACTAAAACGGTCACCAATGCGACCTAAATTTCAATTTGTCTACTGTCTAAAATTCAGAGGTAACCAAATGACTACCTTGAAAAATAGCTTGTGGCAACTAAATTCTATTGCTTCACATTTGAAGACACAAAAATAAATAAAAGCTGATAGTGGAAAACATGTTTTCCATTAATTGTACTCACATATGATACTTACTAAAGTCAACATAGAAATACATAAATATTAATGTAATTAGCATTTTATTTCAGTTGACAATGCTCATTGGATAAGCAAGGATACACCTAAATAATCTAGTAACATAAATTGCATCACTGTTTAAGTCACAAATAACAAAGTAAGTACAGTTTCCACTTATATACAATTTCAATACTAGTGCTATAACTTGTACATATCATAATAGCTATTTGATAAAAGATAATTTCAAATGCTGTTGGCTACCTACAATATTGGCTTGACTTCTTGATTTTACCACTGGCTACCTGGAAAAAAAATACTAGTAGCCTTATGGCTACTTGGTACAAATTTAAACTTTGAGGCCTGAGTATGGTAAATAAAGAAAAGAGGCATTGAGTACTCAAAAACCAACAAAAATCTACTCAACAACTGACAAAAATCTACTCAACAACCAACACAAATCTACTCAACAACTGACACAAATCTACTCAACAATCAACACAAATCTACTCAACAACTGACAAAAATCTACTCAACAACCAACACAAATCTACTCAACAACTGACAAAAATCTACTCAACAACCAACACAAATCTACTCAACAACTGACAAAAATCTACTCAACAACCAACACAAATCTACTCAACAACTGACAAAAATCTACTAAACAACTATGACAAATCTACTCAACAACCAACACAAATCTACTCAACAACTGACAAAAATCTACTCAACAACTGACAAAAATCTACTCAACAATCAACACAAATCTACTCAACAACTGACAAAAATCTACTCAACAACCAACACAAATCTACTCAACAACTGACACAAATCTACTCAACAACCAACACAAATCTACTCAACAACTGACAAAAATCTACTCAACAATCAACACAAATCTACTCAACAACTGACAAAAATCTACTCAACAACCAACACAAATCTACTCAACAACTGACACAAATCTACTCAACAACCAACACAAATCTACTCAACAACTGACAAAAATCTACTCAACAACTGACAAAAATCTACTCAACAACCAACACAAATCTACTCAACAACTGACACAAATCTACTCAACAACCAACACAAATCTACTCAACAACTGACAAAAATCTACTCAACAATCAACACAAATCTACTCAACAACTAACACAAATCTACTCAACAACCAACACAAATCTACTCAACAACCAACACAAATCTACTCAACAACCATCAAAATCACAAATCTACTCAACAATAAACACAAATCTACTAAATCAACATACATGTACTTCACCTATAAGAACACTCCACCAACACAAATCTACTCCATGTTAACAACAACCTCCATCGTGACACTATCATGGCCAAAACTAGGTCAGTCCC